CCTCTAGAACCCTCAGTTTGTTCTTCAGAGTCCATCATCTCTCATGGTTCGTCTACCCCTCCGATTTCCCCCGCTTCATTCTTCCCCTTCTGCTACCTTCTTCTTCTTCTTTTATTTTTCCTTAACATATATTGCATTATTTGTTTCAGAGGTACAGATCTGAGATTTAACAGTCTTGCACAATTCACAGCGCTTACCAGAGTACATACCCTCCCTGGGGAGGTTTCTATTTGTGGTTGAATAGAAGGGTCCATCTCTTGAGAGAGCTGGGGATCTGAGGACAGTAGGAAGATCTGGAACAATGTGGAAGAGAGTTTGCAAGGGAAATAAAGTAGGGCGGCCAGACTGTTGGAGTCAGTGAGCCAGGAGATGGGTATTATGATTCCCTCTTTACACGTGAGGAAATTGAGGCTCCAAGAGGTTAAGTAACTTGCTCAAGGTTACAAAGTAAATAAATGAAGGAGCTAGGATCTGAATATAGGCCTGTGTCATTCTTTCCAGTACATTAGGCTAAATGAATCCCTTGGCCCCAGGGAATAATTCTAATTTCTGGAAAGAGACTGGTATTGGAAGTTGAAAAGCCTCATTCTCGGGTGCCTGGGTGGCTCAGTTGGTTAAGCGACTGCCTTCGTCTCAGGTCATGATCCTTGAGTCCCGGGATCGAGTCCCACATCGGGCTCCCTGCTCAGCGGGGAGTCTGCTTCTCCCTCTGACCCTCCCCCTTCTCATGTGCTCTCTCTCTCTCTCTCAAATAAATAAATAAAATCTTTAAAAAAAAAAAAAAGAAAAGCCTCATTCTCACCTCTATATTCACATTGTCCACTTCCATCAGTTTTGCCTGAGACCCCACACTTCTGACATCTCATCTTTAAAACTGGCAGTCAAAGATGGTCTTGTGGAATGTAACAGAAATTCTTTTTTTTTTTTTTGAAATTATTTATTTATTTGAGAGAGAGAGAGAGACAGCGAGAGAGCACACACAAGCAGGGGGAGGGGCAGAGGGAGAGGGAGAAGCAGACTCCCCACTGAGCAGGGAGCCCGATGCGGGGCTCGATCCCAGGACCCTGGGACGATGACCCGAGCCGAAGGCAGACGCTTAACGACTGAGCCACCCAGGCGCCCCAGAAATTCTTCTTTTATATACTAAATGCCACATAGACGCTTCCATTCAAATGGGCTTACAAGCTAGCTTGGAGTTTCCTGACGCCTTAACAGCATGAGTGTTCCTTAGAACTGTATTTATAAAATAAGAATAAAACAGGACTGCATAAACAAAAGTACTGTATTTAGAAGCCGTGACTCAATTGTCTCATTATGTTTAGCACAGTTAATTCTCCTAATGAGCTTTGTTCTGAATTCTAAGGCTCTCTTAAGGGTGGTAATCTTGAATTTCTAAAGAGATGATGTGATAGGCTTCTCTGGATAAAGCTGAGGTCGTGAACGATGGTGTCTGGACAGTGCAGGATCATCACAGGGGTTTAAAAACTGTGATTTTCAGGTACCTCATCTGTCTTGTAAATACAGTCCCCTCCTGCCCCCCTGAACCCCATGACTGTAAGTATTTAAGAGATACATACCAAGAATCTTTACTTGGAAAAACAGAGATAAGAATTCCTTATAATTTAGGGGTTTTTTTGGGGGGGGTGCTATTCGAGAAATAATAAAGAAGACAAGTGACTATTAATTAGGTCCCACTTTGTGGACAAGGTCTGAGCCCAGAGATAGTCTTCCTTTCCATGAGGAGAAATGACTATGAATCCCCAGTCCAGCTGACAGCTGGAGGATCAGTTTTTCTCCAGAGCTCCTAACTCATCCTGGGGCATCTGGTGCCTGTTCCTTACGTGGGGGTCTTCTTTACAAGGCTAGGAAGAAGGTTCTTTCCTTCCGTGTACATACAGTCCTACAGGCTCATGGGAGTCAACTGTCCGCAGTGCATTCTATGATCATGTGGGGGAACTCCAGTCTCTCCTAGAGGAGGGGACTTTCAGAGCAGTGTTACTGAAACTGTGGGCCAGCATCCTTTCTAAACTGTGAAATTTTGGGAGTGTCAACCAGCACTTGTATAAATGGGAAATGCAGCAGAGTGAGAAAACAAGGGTGCATGTCACAAAATGAGGAGAAGCACTATTTTGGGAAACGTATTTCAGATGGGTATGTGCATGGGTCTGTGGATTTTGACATAATGTGGATTTCTTACCGCAGTCATAGAGAAGAGTTTAAAACTCTATTAGCTCCACAGAATTTCTGAAGCCATATGTACATGATGTTCTTTTTTTTTTTTTTTTTAAGATTTTATTTATTTGACAGAGAGAGAGAAAGAGAGTACAAGCAGGGGGAGCAGTAGAGGGAGAGGGAGAAGCAGGCTCTCCACCAAGCAGGGAGCCCGATGCGGGGCTCGATCCCAGGATCCCGGGATCATGACCTGAGCCGAAGTCAGATGCTTAACTGACTGAGCCACCCAGGCGCCCCCATGATGTTCTTTCAAATGATCCCAGTTTATCCCAGGGTTGTCCTGAAATCTTCTTGCAGGATCTGAACCACGAAAGCACCTTGACCAAGGTTACAAAGTAAACAGGTAAAGAAGCTAAGGATTTGAATATGGTTTATGTGAGCTGAGGAATGCTGCCGATTCAAGCACAGAAGGTACTCCCCGGCAGAATACCAGGGACCAGCATGAGGCTGTGGGAGCATCTCTCAATCCACAGCTCTCTTGGTATTATGCTGCTTAAGTATTGTGAAACTAATTAGCTGCGCTCTATTTTCATCTTAACCATGATAAAAGGTTAGGATGTTGTAAAACTAAACATATCTACAATAAGCCTTTCTCTTTTTAGTCTAATTTCTTGAGTCTAAAAAAAAGTTCCTTCCACGTGTGGTTAGTACGTGCCATCAGGCTCTTTTCATAGAAACCATCCGCTTTAAGAGACAGGCTACATTTTAATCTACAGAAACCCAAAATAAACACTCTTAAGCAGTTCGTCTGTGTGTTATCAGTGTATACAAAATTAAACAATTGTTTACTTAATTGCAATTTAGCGGTTCATCTGTGTGTTATCAGTGTATAAAAAATTAAACAATTGTTTACTTAATTGCAATTTCCCCCACCTACAGTTTTCATTACTAATACGTTACCACGTATAGTTTCTTGGAACATGTGAAGCTTTTTATCAAAAGGCTCCATACAGGTGTGGGGCAAAGGGTATTTATTATTACCATGAAAATCTAATGTCTTATAAAATTCCTCAGGCTCCCTAAGAAGGAAGAGAAATGCCATAAAGTATTGTTGTTAAAATAAAACAGAAGATGAGAAAACAGAGAACAGAAAAATGATAAAGGCATTAGTCATGGTGAATGGGGATGTGTCAAATGGCAGCATATTTATATATATATATAAATATAAATAAATATATATTATGTTATCTATAAATACACAGTAGCTTCTTTTCAGTCTTGCAAAGAAACTAGCCACATGAGGACGGACATAATTGATGCCAAAGCAGAATACAAATACATGAGATAAGAAGAAACAAAGGGGGAAGAAAAGCTTGGGAAATGCTTAAAGGCAGACAATATATTTATGTGACAAAAAAAGGTATCTTGATCCAGTTGCTTTGGGATATAAAGTATTATGACATTTTGCAAAAAGTCAGAGATTGCCAAGTGTCAAAATACACACAAACACACGTATCAAAATAATGGACAAGTACATATAATATAAATACACACATGTATATATATATTTTCCTGGGTGTTTATATGGAAAAATGAAAGAAAGCATTCTCGAACTTCTTAAATTCTGTTTTTAATTCAGAACCAAATGATCTGAAGGTCTGTTAGCCCAAAGTGCAAACTTTTGAAGGTTTACAGAAAGGACAAGCAGAGCAAAGGTCAATAAATTAAAATCCTTTAATGTGTCTTGTATTTGAAAGCTTTTATAACAAAATTAATATAGTATTCCAACTCCATATGCTAGTTGAATGAAAAAAGCTTAATACACCCAAGATATAATATACAAGATGATATACTGAAGTATAGCCTATTTACAGACTAAAAATAAGACAAAATACACACTTGCGGAGGGAAAGCTGGAAAAGCCTAGCCATCAAATCAGAAGGCAGAAAATCGTATTATTCCTATAATAAAAATGTGAACTTCCAATTTTTCAAGTAAGTGAATAAAAACCCCCTCATTAAAAGATGACATCCATATTTCAAAATCTTTTCCCTCTCCCAGATATAACTGGATGTGACATGGATAAAAATAAATTTATGGAAAAGAGATGTTAAAAGAAACACACAAGACACATAATTTTTTCTCTTACCATTGTCGCCAGAAGGTAATGATACAGTGTTTGTTGGCATAGTATCAGAATTCACTTTTCCATTCTCAAATGTGTCATTTTCAGTCTGCTGTAACTGCCAGTTGAGGCCAAAGAGATGCATTGCTGGGGGCAAAGAATACAAGTTGTTTAAAGGTCTGCTGTTTTTAGGCAGTATAGCCAATGGTAAACATGTTTATAACAAGATTCATATGTAAAGTGAAAATTTCCATGTTCTGAAATACCAAAGATAATTGCACATAAAAATTAGAAAGGAAACCGTTCCTCAAACAAATGCAGCTTAGGTAGCAATGCTGTGCAATATTGGTACCAGGAGGCTCTCAGGAATGAATGATTATTTGCTCTGCTTTGTCTGAGTTCCACTCCTCTCTGTCATTTATTTAGGTAAGTGGTCGAATGCTCTGTAGCAGCATCTGCCAAACCTGCTTGAGCTCAGGCCACTTGCACAGGCGGAATACTTAGTTGCAACATCTGTAGATTCTCAAGAAACATGATGTCGTTCATTTGGATTAAGGTAAAAAGTAACAACTGGTCTCCCAGATAGATCTGCTGGCATATGAAATGATCAGAATGGATTTATATGCACAAAATACAGTAATATTTGAATATTCTAGATTTAAGATGAGTTTATGACATTCAATTCCTCAACGGCACAGATGAAGTAACACGCTACGTGTCAGGTAATTTCACGTAGAGTTTCTGATGTGGGTATGATAATCTTAGAAATTTATAAAAATTTTGTAAACGTGTTTACTAATTTTCTTTATTTGAAATATTTAGACAATAGACAACTATAAGACTTTATACATTTATAAATGTAAGATACTTAAAATTTTTTATATTATTTTCTTAATTTATTTGAAGTACTTACAAGAATAACCCCTGTGATATTGACCACTAACCCTCAACTAAACTTTCATTTGTGTTCCACAGAATACAGTTTCAGAATTAATCCCTAAGGAGGCTAAATACCGCTAGGGAAACCCAGGGATGATCGTATTACCGTATCACGAAAGATTTTTTTTGGACATTATTTGACATTTCACCATATATATATATATGGAATTTACCAGAGAGGTGAACAAAGACATAGTGTTCAAGAAGTATTGTTAGAAATAGTGTGATGACTACCACTGTCAAAAGGCAAGCCCTTATTAAATATGTAATATATGTAGTAACACAATTAAATTGGCAGGATAAAGAGCAGGGGCTTTAGATGGCGTTAGATTTTGGTTTAATCTTCAACTTAGGATTTAGCCTTGGACAAATGATGGAATATTATTAACATTCGTTTTACTTAAAAAATGAGGTTGGTTAAACCTACCTTACTTAATTGATGTGAACTTTCTAGACAGGATAGGTCTACGGGGGTATATCATGGACAGCTGATACATAGCAGGACCGTTCTTAGTACCTAGGGACTTCATTTATTTATTGACTCTAGATTACTGAATTATCTTTTTTAAAGATTTTATTTATTTATGAGAGAGAGAGGGAGGGAGGCAGAGGGAGAAGTAGGCTCCCCATGGAGCAGGGAGCCCGATGTGGGGCTCGATCCCAGGACCCTGGGATCACAACCTGAGCTGAAGGCAGACACTTAACCGACTGAGCCACCCAGGTACCCCTAGATTACTGAACTCTTTGAAGTCACCTGACCAGACCACGCTGCCTCTCAATAAATAGTTCCTTCTGTCTGTAAGGCTCTTCATCCACTGTAAAATACCCATTCATCGCTCAGATGGCAGACACCAACTTTGTGGGGTAGCCTTCCCTGACTGGGTTAAGCATCTCTTCCAAGACCGCTTTCATTCACTTTTGTACCTCCTTTACCTTATCTGGTGCCCAGTACCTAGTAGGTCTTAATAAGTGTCTGTAGGTAAATGAAATCTATGTTCTGATGTTTGCAAATCTAAGAAAACACTGTTGTGGGTAAAAATATAGTAATTGAAGGGAACAGTTAATAAACATAAAACAAATAAGTAAATGGCCAAGAACAGAGTGTTATATTATTAATAAATAATTAATGACTATATTAGCATAATGGTATATGAAAAGCAGTTGAGTGGAAGTCCACTAGTACTTTATATAATTAAAATTAAAAAAAAAAGATTCAATAGTTTGAGGGTATTCTACATGTTTCACATTCTTTTGTTAACAACTCCTGATATAAAATTATGCTATAATAAGAAACACAGCAAACACAGATACAAACATAGCTACATCTCCTCTGTATATTTTTAAAAAATGTATATACTCCCCTTCTTAAATTATAATCTGGCAGCAATTTCTTTCAAGCTCTGGTTTTTTTAAGGATTAAGATATAGGTTGTAGAATCCTTGAATTCACAAATTGTCAACTTGTAAGGAGGTATAACTTCATATGTCATTTTGCATTAAATTACATAGTGTTTGAGTGGCAAAATGTCAGGAGCTTTCTAAACATTTATCACTTCATACATTTTTTTCAAGGTTTTAGGTATTTCAGCAATTTTTGAATAAAATAATGGGAACTTGTTCTGCATACAGTAAAAGCTTTGACTGACATACTTCAGCATAGTGATGATAAATATTCCAAAAGGGTCAAAGTTTCTACACAAAATAATTTATCATCATTGTGAGCTTTTATGTAACATAAAAAGTCTTCCTGAATGATAGATTTGCTTATATTATGGTTTTAATAGACTTTGAAGAAGAGAGATAATCCACGGGATCCTGCACAGATGTCAAATATTAGAAAGTAATGTTATGTTTCTGTTTGGAAAGCTATTTTATTTTTTTATTTTTCTTTGCCAGATGGGCAATAGCTTTATGACATATTTTCTTCTTACAGTAAATCTCAATAAAATGAAATTCCAGTCTACTTAAGATGCTGTATAATGAGAACCATACCAAATAATATTATATCTTGTTTAACACTGCATTGAAAACGGAGACCAACAAGTTGTTTGGTCTTGGGATATTATGTACTTTGAAAATCTTGGCGTTTGGTATTTAGCAATGCTCTTGACACTCATTCTGTGTAACTTGAGATTCTTCTACAAATACAGGGCGTTAGTAAAACTGACTCCAAAAATGAGAGAGGGGGAGACCAAGGGAGGCAGCAAACTCGTAAAAGTCAAAAATGCTAGAGTGATTTCTGAGCACTTGCACAATAGTGCTGTATGGGAAGGTCTTGGCAGACAAATAAGGGAAAATCAGTGAAATAAAATACACGTGTAAATACAGAAGGATGAGCCCAATTCTTCAATACCCGAATTGGAAAGAAGATTTGAACCCACGGGAAGGCCTGGGGCACCACTACTCATGATTGGTGAAAATCGATCCTTGGTGTACGCATGACCTGGGGGGGGGGTGGGGGGAGAGTGTCCAGGAGTGGCTGGGAGCTCTGTGCCCTTCAGGGTCCCTCACCCCTCTGGGCACATAGCTTAGGTGAGGAGTATCGGCCGGCAGGAATGTTGTTCTTGTGCTGGTGTTAGGACATCACGATGCAGTATTTTTTTTTAAGAGAAAACATTCATTAAGCACTTATTATATATCAAATGTTGTGCCTAGTGTTTCACCTGCTTTATCTCATTTAATCTTCATGAAGACTCCAATGACTACTTACTGGTATTACTTTTTTTCATTTTAAATCTGAGAAAATTGAGGCTTTTGGGGAGCTTAACTTTTCAAGCAGGCAAACAGTAGACCTTGCCCTTCAATCCAGACCTTCTGATCACAAAGGGCTTAGCCCAATACACCTGTCTATTCTCCCAGGGGGCAGAGGAATGTGAAAATCTGTACCGAAGGAAGTGAAATGTACCTTCAGTGAGGGCCATGGGCTAGATAAGGTTTTTCTACTAGATCTAGAAAACGGAAGGCAGAGATAGTATTTGGTGGCAGAGGATGGGCAAAGATTCTTCTAAGTAACATTTGTGTAATCCAGGCACGGTTCTTCCATACAAGAACTTTCCCACTCTACTGAATTCTCTTTTGTAGAAGAAAATTTTATAGTAATATGGTAAGGATGAAAATTCACAACAGGCTATTTTGGTTAACTCTAAGAGTAGTTTTTTTTTTTAAGATTTTATTTATTTATTTATTTGAGAGAGAGTGAGGGAGCGAGAGAGCGAGTGCAAGCTGGAGGAGGAGCAGAAGGAGAGGGACAAGCAGACTCTGCACTGAGCATGGAGCTTGACGCAGAGATCTCACGACCCTGAGATCATGACCTGAGCCAAAACCAAGAGTTGGATGCTCAACCTACTGAGCCACCCAGGCACCCCTCTAAGACTCTTTAAAACAACAATTTAAAAATTACATGTGAACCCTATACGTGTGTATTTTAAAGTTATAGAAAGCATTCATGTAGATTTAATCTTAAAAAATCTGTTTCTGATATCATGTTTCATAGTTTCATACTGTTATTTCCATGTATCTCTGGGTGATTTTAATGAGGGGTGGGGGCTGGATTCATATCTAAAATGTTATCCAAGGAAGAGGGGAATTTGTGAATGACAGCAGTAACATTATATGTCTGCTTAAGTGTGTTCTTTACCTTTAAAAATACCTTGATGTCTATTAACTTGTTTTTTTTTTTTTTTAAAGATTTATTTATTTTAGAGAGAGAGAGTACGAGTCGAAGGGGGAGAGGGAGAGAGAATCTCAAGCACACACTGCTCCTAGTGCAGAGGCTGACGCGAGGCTCGGTCTCGGGACCTTGAGATCAGGACCTGAGCCGAACCAAGAGTCGGACGCTTAACCAACTGAGCCACCCAGGTGCCCCGATGTCTATTATCTTCTAATAATGAATGAATGGTGTATGACAGCAGTCATCATTCCTGTTGTACGAGTGAAACACAGGCAGAGAGCAGGTTAGTGACTTACTCAACACCTTTTAAAAAAAGTTAGTGTATAAAGAGGACTCACGATACCAGATATCTTGACCCGATGTCAGGATTCCTTTTCCTATACTGAGCTGCTGTCCTTTTTAATCACAACTGTTTTGAATCAAAATTTTAAGAAATTTAAAAAATCTTAACACGAATTGTTGATTTATTTCTTTTTCGACAGCAGCACATATAATCAGAGGTTGTTCATTTGTTGAAATGGGCTTCTAAATACAAGATG